CTACACACAGCGCGTGCTTCACTCCTCCACCATCTGTGCACCCTTCCTCCTCTACACACCGCGTTCGACATCTACAAGTCTCCTGATTCTCCAGTGGACGCGCATGTGGCGTCGCGCTTCGAGAACATTCAACAGCTGACAGTGCATGCGCCGTCGAGCTGTATATATACTCAAGGTCGGCGCTCGCTCGCTCAGTTGCCGCTCGTCGGTTGGTTTGTACGGCGCGTCGACGTCCAAGGTCGCGGTGAAATGAATTCCAACGAATCCACAAACACAATGATCGACGTCCCTTCGACCAGCGCCGCCCTTTCGCATACGTGTGTACGTGTTCACTCATTTAACACCCCCTCCTACAACCACGTTAACCAATTTAGCCATCGACCCAAGTAAGTCGCAATTTAACACCCCATTTCACAACCACGTTAACCAATTTAGCCATCGACCCAAGTAAGTCGCACTTTAACACCCCGTTAACCAATTATATGCTCCGCATCCTCCTCAGTGTTCCCCCGAGGGAAGCTGCGGGCAATTTTTTTTCTTATTGTTGAGGGTCTTTAGTTTACCGTTAAACCACGGGACTGTGCTCGCTCTTTAACAATAACGGGGGGGGGGATATATTTCGTGCTTAGACGTAACATCTCATTTTGAAACATTGACCTAGTTAGTTTGAATGGAGCATGATTGATAATTATTTTCGCATTCATCTCAAAAGACAGCAGGTTCATCAGTCATAGAAGCGTAGTCACCTCTGTCATACAACACCGAAGTTTTTATAGTTTTCTTGGTTCTAAATATATGACTAGGACACGGTACCCTGAACAATACAGTGATCACACAGTGGTGGAAGATAAGTTAATGAGGAACAAATGACGGCGTTTGCTGTAAAAAGTAGGCCGAGAATGTTTGAAGAATGAGTTGAAATGCGTGTTGGTTTAGTGACATGTTGAGATAGACCGAATGTAAGACATGTGTTCAGGAACTCACTTTCGATGCTATTTCTTGACAGCGTGACTGCATGGTTAGTCCGAGTCGATCAAAGTAAAGTTGAAATCACCGAGCTAATGATGTGAGATTCAAGAAGAGTTCCTTTATTGTTTGCAAGCATACATGAAAGCTTTCTTTGAAAGAGCTATTAGATGGTCGATAACAGACACCGATAAGCATACGCGGCAATGTAGCATTACAGCATATCGATAAGAATTCAAGATTCGACAATTCGTTTCTGAAGTGCAAAGCAGTGATCGGTTAGTAGCAATAAGAACGCGACAAGAATGTCACATTATTCATGTCATGACCAGTGAGTCGTATTAGTGAAACCATCTTACCCACCTATGGTAATTTGGTTCACGCCAAGTTGAGAGGGTGACCATGAGAGTACCCAAACGTAAGCGGCTAGATGGATAGATAGATGGATAGATAGATGGATAGATAGATGGATAGATAGATAGATAGATAGATAGATAGATAATGTAAACAGACGCTCCAAGTGCCTGCAGTAGGTAAATAAATGCTTAGAATTTAAAATTTTCTTTTCAGAGGGCAAGTGGGCCGTGTTAGGGTGTGCTTGCGTATTGGACTCATGATGCACTTCAGCGTGGAACCATGCCGTCAGCCATCATTGTATCAGTAAGCATCGTACATGAAAACAGCCTTTTAGATGTGCACTCTCTCTTTGAGACTATACCTGTCTCTTAGAAGCCAGCCTCGCAAGGATATCGTAATCAGGCGCTTCTAGTGAATTAGGAATGCTGTCGGTGGTTGTTGCGAACCGACTCAAAGGCCCTTTGAAGTCGGGTGTCTCTTGCGAAGGCAGGGTTAACATTTTAGAATATTCCTGTCCACGGAAGCCTGACACATAGGTTCTGTGTTCCCTTTGGTGATTTGTCACCAGATGTCAAATTGTCGAGTTGACAGGAGGACGACTTCAATCCTGAAGTCTAACTGTTTATTCCACTACCGAAATCACCGTGCGTGCATTTCGATGCTATGCTCGCCTGGGTAGCGAAGCAGAGTCCATTTCTTCCAAGCTAGGCAGCTTGGTTTTGCAACCCCGCCGGTGGCGTGATGCTGCAGTGACACTGCCGTGCCGCTGTCGTTTATCAGAGACTATGTGCAGTGTGCAGCCGCATCATGCTGGGCTAGACAAGGATGAGTAGGATATTGCGCCAATTTACGGGCACAGTGTGGCGCCACATCGTGAAGCGATGGATTAGGTTCTATTTTTAGATGAGACGTATCTTATGGTAGAGCTCAATCCAGTGTGGGGAGTGACCACACTTTCTGCGCATGCGCGTCCTCTCCCGTAATCATCTCTTGCTCCCCTTCTCTCTAGGTATCCCTCCATGGGGCGTTCACACCCCCCTTGTGCATGCGCCCCTCTCCTCCTCATATGCTACGCTCCACCCTCTCAAGCCTTGCAACGTTAGCGCCGGCAGCGTCTGCTAGTCTAGATGCTCGCTCCCCCTCTCTCTCCTCCAGGCATCCCTTCATGCGCCCCCCTTCCTTCTCCTCTGATACGCACCCCCATTTTCTCGCCTAGCAACTTCGATTCAGGCAGTGCCTAGCGAGTTTCTCAATTGAAAAAAAAAAAAACGACTGCTCGAGCTGCGCAACCATTACCAGCCATTCCGAATATACGCACTGGATTTTCACCTCAAAAGTAGTGCCGATGGGAGATTTATTCTGTGAATTGTTAAACACAACAACAACAACAAAAACACATTCGCTGCGTGCTCGCTATTTTAAGGTGGATTGCGGGTATCTGTGTTCAAGTAGAGTCTTCAGTCTCTCATTGCCCGTTAGCAGAGATTGGCATGTTCCAGTAAGAAACACTGGTCGATTACTGTGTGATTGGATGTTGGTCTATCACTGGTCTATCACGGCGTGCTGTGGATGTTGACAGAGGATTATTCATCAATGAGCCATCCTGGTCAGTGAACATAGCTTAGGAAGGAAGAGAGGCTTGGGCCGTACGGCTGAGTCTTCCATGCGAGGAGTAGTGTTCCGCGGTAGGTCACTGACTCCGCGTTCATGTGGCGACGGCTCCGATAGACGAGGATGTTGCTCAAGACGAGGATGTTGCTCAAACAAAATAGATCTTGCTTCTTATCTCTGCGGGCAGGTCGTATTCCTGGTATAGCAGCGCATCAAACAGCGGTGGTGTCAGGATTTGGGTTTGTCCGAATGATGCTGAAATTGAGTGTTGGGACTGTAGTGTGGCTTCTGGCTGTGGTGGATTTACGTCAGATACCATCGCAGTGTCCGAAGCCTGAAGAGATTAACTGCAGTGCATAGCTGCAGCATCGGGAAGGAACCCCTCTTGCGCTCAATCTTCGGTGAAGGCCGTGTTGGACTCGCTGGAGGCACAGATAATTTGGCCAAAGCGGCAGTCAGGGCTGCACTCCATTCCGCCCAGGAATGCTGCCTCGACGCTTCATACTTGTACCACGCCATGACACCATCTCGAAGTTGTTTAATTTCCAAACCTAATTTCCACTGGTCCGACGAAGCCTCGCGAAATCCGACAGCGTTGATGGTCGCCACCGAATCTTCGGCTTGCTCGTAAAAGCCGCTGAGCTCCGATATTGCGCAGGCGGCTTTTGATGATGGGACTGCATTTGAAAAGTAACAGAGTGCCGACGCGAAGCCACCCAGTGGGTCCTCGAGTTGCACAAGGACACCACGGAACTCTCTGCATTACTTGGATGTGCTCGCCTCCAGGTCGTGTGAGGCGGCTACGTCTAGCATACCACCGGTGGCACTCAATGCTGGCAGAATGGCGAGGAAGACGGCGGTGCTCGTCGCAGTCATGGCGTTGACCATGACCCGAAGTCACGCGATTATACACCGGAGGACCGCAGCACTATCCGGTGATTCGCACGCGGAGCCCATGGTGGTGTTCGAGGAGTAGGAGATGATTCTTGTATTCACTTTAACGGGACCCTTGTCAGATGGAGTTGTGGTAGCACCCTTCAGCAGCTCAGGTGTCGAAAATGCCCTGAGCGGGAGGTTGTCGCCGCTGGAGGCATGAACAGCGTTCCCGGGAAACAAGAGACTGTGCGCTGTCTCCGCGACACCGACGTACGCCAAGGAAGTCTCCACGGGGTCCCCTGGATGCGCACAACTTTCGGTCAAGTCGTACATTGGAACCACCGAAGAGGCATTGACGCCGTCCGTGGTTGATTCAGTGGGTGGCTGCAGCACTAATCGGTTGGTGAAGTCCATGGCCGAGGAAGCGCTCGTGGCGTTCCTATGATAGAGAGACCCACGCTGCCGACGGCCCACGAGGCTACAAACAAGTGGCTTGAGCCGCAAGGTGGAATGGTCGGCTGTGCCATTGCAAGGACTGAAACGGAGAGAACCAAAAGACAACACCCGTATGCTAGGCAGGCTGTCTCCCTCGCGTTCCTCTACCTCGCTCGTCTAACATACATGCAACATGTGCGTCTGTGCCAGAGTGCCAGTGTCGGTTTTTTGTCCTCAAGATTTCTCTCTCTCTCTCTCTCTCTCTCTCTCTCTATATATATATATATATATATATATATATATATATATATATATATATATATATATATATATATATATATATATATATATATATATTAATACGGGGAGTATATAATAAGTGAACGCCGGGTGGGCTAACACTGAACACAGTATGCAGGACAAGAGGACAATTCAGACACGGCTCCCCCCCAACAACATCGTCATCTTCATTTCTTCACCCATGACTATATATATATATATATATATATATATATATATATATATATATATATATGACATTGATATGCCCCGCCGTGGTGGTATAGTGGCTAAGGTGCTCGGCTGATGTAGCCTCCGCAGCTGCGATTCAATCCCGCGCCCTGCGAGTCAGCAGCCGAGTACCTTAGCCACTAGACCACCACGGCGGGGCATATGTATATCTCGCACTCCTATTTTGTATGTTGAAACATTATGCTGACATTCTTTTTTCGATCAACTTTGTGCACCAAGGAGCTGGCGTTGGCTTGCTGCAGTCCGTTGGCAGAATAGGAAGGAACGTGGTTGGTGAACCGGACGGTGGTCTCCTGGGCTTGCTCAGTTCACTATTCAGCGGCTTTAATGTCAGCTTAGGTGAGTTCTGTTCTGTTCTGTTTTAACTGTTTGGCTGTGGAGAGGTTGAGGTGCCTATTGCCTCGGCTACTCCATATCACAAAGTTCTGCAGCGAAAAATAAAATAATAATACAGAACGGTACCCAAAAATTAACAATATGGGAAAGAAAAAAAAACATAATAGCACACTGAAACCAGCACAAATATCATGCCAATACACAGTTTTCTTAGCGCTGTTCACACAGTCATAAACTATTTACACGCACACCTTACTATTCTACTGTCAGCTTAGGTGAGTGTTATTATTGTGCGGGATTCCTTAGAAAAACATTACGATAAGCTTTAAATAATACACGGGTAGGCTAAAGGGCCCCTAAACAACCCCGAATTCAAAGACGAGAAAGTGATTTATTTCTCGCTTTCACTACGTTCTTACAGGCACTATCCCCTCCTCTTTATTTATTTATTGATAAGATACATGTACAAGACCAAGAGTAAGCGTTTGATTCAAGTTTTTGTCTTTTCGTCTACATGCTCCCGCTTCCGCTTGCGTAGACAGGAGCGCACGAAATGTAGTGAAACCAAACGGTCACGCATGGTATACGCGCGACACAAAGCAGAATGAGCCAATGAGTGCACGGAGAAAGTAGGGGAGATTTCACAGCTACTATTGTTGTATATAGACTAATCAAAAGCTTCTTTCCTTATAACGTCATGTTAACAGGCTGGAAACGTCATGAACGGTGGCGGAAGACGGGAAGTACAAGGAGCGAATAACGCACTAGTTTCTTTTTTTTTCTCATATTTATAGGTTCTTATGTGTCTTTCGATTCCACATTGTTCCGCACCACAATCAACACGATGATTTTAAACAAGAACAACCACAGGCGTTTTTGGGCGGCGTATTAGGCTCTTTCTGCGTGCCCCGCCGCGGTGGTCTAGTGGCTAAGGTACTCGGCTGCTGACCCGCAGGGCGCGGGTTCGAATCCCGGCTGCGGCGGCTGCATTTCCGATGGAGGCGGAAATGTTGTAGGCCCGTGTACTCAGATTTGGGTGCACGTTAAAGAACCCCAGGTGGTCTAAATTTCCGGAGCCCTCCACTACGGCGTCTCTCATAATCATATAGTGGTTTTGGGACGTTAAACCCCACATATCAATCAATTAGGCTCTTTCTGCGTTGCTTTTGCGGCACCTAAGAGGCTAACACAGCACACACGAATCAAATCGATACACTGTGAATAAGTAAAATACGCTTCATGGGGCGCAAAGTTATCGCGATCATGTGTGCGAATTCTGTGTTTATCGCAAAAGCATAACATCATAGTGGTGAGCCTTGAAAGTTTTATTTTAGCTGAGCAGGCATATAAGATGGAACTTAAACGAACTGCGTTTTGGTGGACGTTGCTTTTTACTCGCCGTAATTGCTTAGCGGCTAGCGTTTCTTGTTGCTAATTGCGAATATGCGGGTTGGATTTCGGGCCATGGCACTTGCATTGGAATGCAAAGCAGAAACTCACCTGTATCTAAATTTATATGCATGTTAAAATACTTCATGTTGTCGGAAATCATCTCGTGCATTCTGTACGGTGTGGTTTTTATTCATGTCTACTTTTAGCATGTAATTGTTTAAAGCTTAATTTCCAACATATACCAAGTTCATTAAATTCCCAAAAAGATCCTTTTGAAGACATTTCACTGATTGATAATGAAAAGACAAGTGGCTTGGCAGTTGCATTTTCCCACTGAGTAAAATGTTGATTATTGGTAAATAAAGGACCAGCGAACGTTGAGTGCACCAAATTTGACTTTCCAGACCTTACAAGAAATGTTTTGCTGGCTGTGCTTGGGACCAAGGATATCCTTCTCGGTACGCCTTCAAAGGATGCGCTGACGACCAATCCTTAGGCCAACACGAACAAGTACGAAGGAGGAAGCTGCTGAGAGATCGCTGGATCACGCCTATACGGTGAAAACGATCATGTGTACACGCCAGCCAAGAACGTGTCCTCCGGGCTCTGTGTGGTGTCCTTAGACTTTCGGAGTGGACTGAAATGGAAAAACTGTATTGAAGTCCTGGACACCTATAATAATATATGAGAATCCACATAACTTAAATGAAACATTTTAAAGAATACAAAAACTCAGAAGCTTCGGTATTTTGGTAGCTATCATCGCCGAAGAAAGTCGCACAGACAAGGACACAATGTAATAGAGATGTGTGAATAAAACGACGCATTTTCAAATTCTTCGCTCAGCCTATATTTTTTATATGATGTATCAGAACAACTACGCCAAGTTCTGTCACGTTACCCAAATGTCTATAAAAAAAAATATACTACAGATTGTTCGGCGTTGTTTAGGATGAAGTCCGGCAAATTGGTGAAGGAAAAAGGAACTCTTTTGACGGAGCAGTTAAACACGTTAACGAGCTCTCGACCAATTGGCGAATTTTCATACAGGACGCGCTGTCAATGCTCACACCACATGCCGACGAATCCCGCTTTCTCTGACTCTCTGTGGACACAGAGCTCTGTGCCTTGGTCGACGACCGGGTTCTATTTACGCCGTAATGAAGCGGGACAACCACGTGGCGTAGTGTACATCGAGCAGCGTACTTCGGGACAATTATACAACGTCGAACATCGGCGATGATAAGCTGTTACACGTGCCGCAGAAGAATTTCTCGCGCGCTTTAAAAGTGTTTGTAACCATATACTTTTTCCCTACGGCCTCCGTCTTCTGTCATTAGCTGCGCCATCGTTATCACCCGGCGGTATCTGGTATTCGGTTCACAGGATACTAGAAACAGAGATTAAATTCGATCGTTACGAATGAGAAGTCCCCGTATATATCAGCTTCTCGGCACAATGAGCAGTAAGAAAGGCATAGAAAAAGAACTTCAAAAGCCCCTGAATTCTGCTCTGGCCAGGGTTTCAGACGGTCGATTTGCCGCTCTGCTTGTCAACCTTCGTGAAACAAGCCTGCGTGATTACGTGCACGCCCAGCAGCACTGAGTAGGCCGGCGACGCGCGGTGTGTGTGAAATGAGAAGTTTTGAAGGAATAACAGTGACCCGTGGACCCGCAAAAGTGAGTATAGAAAGGAGCTGTAACTGCCCTACACGAGACGATAGGAAAGATTTATTATTGCTCGCAGCTCCGAGTGTCATCTCGCCGATGACTGCGCGACGAAGGGGCTCTAGACGAAGCTAGAAATGGCGCACTACATGCGTCGTTATATCTAGTTGTTTTAAAAATGTGCTGCCTTGCAAGAATTCGAGAGTAACTCAAATTACCGGGCTTGAATATTGGTGTCCCACTATGTATTGAGAGGGGCTTCGGTGTCTCGGAATCGCGTATAACGACAGCTTCATTAGAGTGCCAATTTTATCTTTATAGTACCTAAAGAATGCGGCTTTATTCTGCCCTTGTGTTTTGTGCATTCGCTCTCTCTTTGTATCATTATCACCCACATTATGTTGACACAAACTTTGCTTCTAAATCAACATGTTTCAGTAGCACTTGTCAGTGCCCGGGTGACGGTAATAGGCGGACAAGACTGACGAAGAGGAAAAGTACGCCTTCTGTTTTCACGCGGTTGCAGTCACATTAGCAATGGGATGTGAACTATAAACCGCCGCCACACCTTGTTCAGTTGTGGTGAGACACTGTGTGGACGTGCTTCGAATGAGCTCCGGCCCGGTGACCATCTATCGGCCCACGCACGTTGTTCTGGACTTGCTCTTAGTGGGCTTGTCTGCAGGAGGTTGCCCTTTGCCTACGGACACCACTCGTATAGGCAAGTTTGTTCCCTTTTTAGGAGTTTTCAAGATTTTCCTATCAACCCCGTGGTGGCAAGGTCAGGCCTATCTGCTATATGCCAAGCCTGGGCCGCGACGCCGGGCGTCCGTCTTGCACCTGGTGACCGTGTGCCTTTTTAGGCTGAAGATGGAATACTACGTCGAAGGGAAGGCTATGACACCCGAAGATTTTGAAGCGGGAGAGTGGGCTCCAGTGCTGAAGGCACAGGACCGATTTAAGAAGACTCAGCATGGCGACAACGCCAAGAGCAAGCCTTGCGAGACGCCGGCCGGAAGCGAAGGGTGAAAGATGCACGGAGCGCAGCAAGTCAAGCGGGGGAAAGTGCCGGTGTGGAAGAAACGCAGACTGTTTCTAAAGATGCCAGCCATGGATTCCAAGGTTGTGTACAGGCCCCAGAACTAGGACTGGAGTGTAGTGACAGCGAGAGAACTCGAACGTTCACTGAGAGCAGCAGCGCGTCTAACGAATGTGATTGCCGCGGAAGAAGATAGTGTGCAGGTTAATGACACAACCAACACGTTGATAGTGAGCGCACCATGCATGAATCGCAGTGGGGCATATGCGACTGTGAACACGCTTAAGCTGAGTGATCGTGACCTGCCGGTTTCGGCGTTCGTGGCGCCGTTGGAGAACTCCGTGCGGGGAGTGATTTACAATGCTTATGATGGATGCCCAGAGGAAGAAGTGAGGGTGAGATTATTGAAGAAGAATGAAGGCACAGATATTCTGGACGCGAGACCTCTGGGAAAGTCGAAGGCGATTAAGAATATGTTCGGGGGAAAACGCATACCCCGGCAGGTTGCTTGCTGGAACTGCCTGTACGCTGTGATCCCATATAGAAATTTAGTCGAGACGTGCTACAACTGCAGACGATTTGGACATCGAGCAGACGTTTGCTATCGTCCGACGACTAACCTATGTCGCCTTTGCGGGAAGGGCCATCCTGCCCCGCCAGAAGGAGAGCCCCTCACGTGCACGCCGGACTGCATCGTGTGCCACGGTGCGCATCACACAGGGAGCCGTACCTGCAAGTTTCGCCTGGATCGCAAGCCACCGAAGAGCCGGCAGCAGAGCATCGAGAGAGAGAGTGAAGCTGGCAACGATGAGTGGTCCTCGAGGGCCACGGAGCAGTAATCGAGGGGTTCAGAAGGCACAAGCAAAAGCAGGAAGCGGTCGAGTTCCTTCCCGCCATTGCCAGGGCGTGGGGGCGGCCAAGATGGCGGACGATCATCCAGTCTTAACAGCACGCGACGCCAACAAAAAAGTGAGCTTGTCAGACACGACCTCCCAGAACGAAAATGCTCGAGAGAGGGAGTTAGCAGCGCTCGTTCAGCGGCAGGGAGATTTCATTGAAAGAATCGAAAATGGAATTGCAGGGATGGAATGCGCACCTAAAAACGACCAACGACAAATGACACAAGCACCAGCAGTGCAAAACCTACAGAAAGCGACGCAAGAGGCGTCTGCTCGCGTACGGGAGAGTGCAGCTATGGAAGTGAAGAATCGAAAATTAGTGAAGAGACCACTGCTGGTGGATGAGGAATCTAACGCAAAACGATTAGCCGAAACGTCACCAGTAGACATGCCACAGCCTGCTTTTGAAGGTCACTAGTCTTAAGTCGCATGTGACTACCCTTGCGGATAAAGTAGACAAACAAGGGGAAGGACAGTATAGGTTAGAGACTCGAGTCGAAAAAAATCGAAGGCAGATTATACACAATAGAGGAACGTATCGGCATGCTCTCTAGTGAATTTAAAGCTTCCCAAAGCCAGGTCATGGACATGTTTCAGCAGATTCATACTCTATTGGAGGTAATACTGCCTCCCGTGGGTGGCCAAGTGCCATTACTAAACCTGGTGCCTCATCATGGAGCCTCGCCAGCAAACTGAGGTTGGCAGTGGAACTGCAGGGACTTTCGTCACAAGCGGGGTAACCTGTAATGGCACGTACAAAATCTGGATAGTAAACTGGACATGATACCCTACAGGAGGCAAGTGCTTCCGTAAAATAACTCGGATTTAAGGTATTTACATCGCCAGCGATTGACTAAAGGGGTGCATCATGCGTCTCCACAGCTGTCCTAGTCCATCGCAACATCACTGTCATTCAGCATTCCGTAGATAGCAACAGGGAAGACTACATCCTGCTAGAGATTTTACCTAAACAAAAGTATGAGAAGAGTTTGTTTCTACTTAATGTGTAAGTTCTCCAAAAGGTAAACGATTGGGCTTGCCACAACTCCTGATTCAAACTCAACGGTTAGCAGCTGGCGCTCAGCTTTAATATAGCTTATAGTAGTAGGAGATTTCAATGCGCGTCAACCAGAGTGGGGTTATATTCGAGCCAGCACAAAGGGCAATCGGCTTTGGCAAGTTGCCCGGGATCTGCGATGGGCGCTCTTAAACAATCCGCAAGATCATAGGAGCCTAGGCAACAGCGTAGGCAAGCATAACTTTCCAGACCTTACGTTCTTTAGAGCTATGAGTAATGCAAAGTGGATTAACACGAGACAATCACTAGGAAGTGATCACTATAACCTTTCCGTGATGTTTAGCGCTGCGAAGCATAAAAACAAAATGAAAGTACTTCGAAATACGGGTTGAGGCAGATTTAGGAAAAACAGAGCAGACACTGTGAACGGGAAAATAAATACTTGGGTAGAGGTGCTCAAGCAGCATGTAAAGAGTACCACAGTAGAAGGGCCAGTTGAGCAGGAGGAGGTTATGGTGGATTCAAGACTATTACACATGTGAGAAGCGCACGCGAACCTCTTGAGAAGATGGAAGAAGCAAAAACGTAATGGCATCCTTCGCAGAAGGACTGGCAAGTTAGAACGTAAAATTGAAAATTATACAATTGAGTTGCAAGCCAAGCAGTCGGGCGAGATTTGTGAACGCATGAATGGACAGTTTAGATGCAAAAAGACATGGCAGCTGTTGAGGCATCTTTTGGATCCAGCAACAACCAAATCAGCGCAACAGAGACAAATCACTCGAATAATGCATCAATATGAAGGCGCAATTGGAGAGTTTATACAGGAGCTCCGGAATCGGCACATAACTGATGGAGTAGACGTTTGCTTACCACACAACTCGGCGGTGGAAAACTCGGAACTAGATGAAGAGTTTACATTTGTGCAGGTGGAGTTTGCCATGGGGCAGCTGCGTACTACGTCTGCCATGGGTCCGGATGGGGTTACTAATGAAATGCTCAGAAACCTAGATTTCAAATTGGTCGGGGCTATCACTGACTTGACAATTGAGTATGGGGTCGCCGGGGAAATCCCAGCACAATGGAAGCATGCTATGATTATATTATTTCTACGCCAGGAAAGAAACTCTGCTTTGAGAACCTGCGCCCCATATCGCTGACATCATGCGTGGGCAAATTGATGGAGCACGTGGTTCTCAACAGGCTTAAGGATTAT